GTGTGTGTGTGTGTGTGTGTGTGTGTGTGTGTGTGTGTGTGTGTGTGTGTGTGTGTATGGGGTCAGAATGTGACCCCATAAAGACTTCTCTGAAGCTGCTGGTCTGGAACTCCAGCAGTTCATCTAAACAAAAGGCGCTTAGCCTAAAACAGATATAGATGTTTATCCTACCATAAAACAATAAGAGCAGGTACGACCTCTCTCGTGACCCCAGAGTCTGAGTGTGCATGCCAGAACACTCTGGGAGGCACACACAGTCTTTACAGACTGCTAAGGATCAAACCTCTATCAATATGCAATTGATTATAAAACTAAGCATATATCAGTAAATATTTCTAAGCATAAATGACAATCAGCCATATAAACCTAACAAACCATGAGTTCTTTCCAAAGTGAGGAAAGGATTGATTAAAAATAACCTGAAATATTCGACTGAGTTCTTTAGAACAAGATTTAATCAGCCAGCCACTAGTGTTATCAGGACCCTGGCTCGTCTTCACGTTAAATGCATGAAAGGCCTTTTGGATATCTCTGAGTTTAATGGTGTCGCCTCTTCACTGCTCAGACTGTAACTGGTGTACCAGTCAGTGCATATACTGGTACACGGCTGTGTACAGCTCCACTGTTCATGAAAATAAAACTAACAATGTCACTAATATGTGCCATCCTAGAGCAGCTGTACTACCTGTGCAGCCTGAGGGACTTGCAGGTATCGTCTGTCTTTTTATTATTATTATTTCGTTTAGACTGGTGAAGTTAAAGAAAGCGACTGTGCAGCAGCAACTGGACGCCAGGTGTCCCCAGTCTCCCATTTTTCGCAGCAAGGGGAATCCTGCTGGAAAGAAGGGCTGACTGGAGTGTGTGGAGAAGTGCGTCCGCATGAGTTGTTTTCACACACACACGCCACTTTCGGGTACTTTTCAAACTGAAACTACTTTTAATCCATTTTTAAACTCCTCCGGGTTTCCTTCAGCCGCAGTAATGCAGACGTAAAGTCAGAGTGTGTGTAGGCATGTAGGAATGGATGAAGACAGTTGCAATTAGGAAAGCAGGGTGGCGACAGGTAGCCAGAGATAAGGGAAGAAAACGGGACTACACCTTTACCGCATTACTCGCCGCTTCCATCGGTGGAAGTTCCGCACAGCAGCCGCCTTTCTTCTCGGGTCTGCCCGCTTCTCCTGAACTCTCCAGCGGATTCCTCTTGGGTGTTTACTCCGGCACAATCATGTCTGAGGAAACAACGGATTTCCCTAACGAACTGTTCGGTAAGGTTACGATAGCGGGGATTCGTGTTTACGCCAGCTGACCGACGCGTGCGCTGCGCTGTTATTGCCCTCAAAATAAAATAAAAAGTTCGGAGTTCGTCGAACTGTTTTGACGTGGCTCAGCTGGCTCAGACGTCTTTTAGCTGCAATGATTTAAAGGGAACAGCGCCATGTAAAACTTAACGCATTGATCTGATAGCGGTGACGTTGTGTTTTTACTCGCTTTTAAAATCACTGCGAGTCACTTTGAGACTCTCAGAAGTTACATAGAAGTTGAAGTTTTCTAAATATACGAGTGTTTACTACAATTCTGGGCCAGTGTTTTGGAAATAATAACGTGATTCAACTGAAGGCAACGAGCTCGTATCAAAACACACTAACTTCAGTAAACAACAGCTACACTGTCCTGCTAGTACTGGATCACACTGATTGGGCCTTTTATTAACAGGTGAAATAATCTCTGGTTTTGTCCATTTCTGTAAAAATAAAAGTCATTTTCATGCCCTGGGGCTTTGGCTGGCTACCTGAGAGTCTCTCCTCTGCTGCCACTTCCTTATCTGAAGTGGGGGAGAGGAGAGGGGTGTGTCTGTGAAATTCCTTTGGATTGTGGGATATTATCAACACAGACTGCCTGGATGACTGAGTGTCAAAAAAGAAGTGTAAATCACTGCATTTAGCTGGAGAGAGTAGCCTGAACTGAAATAAAACACCTTGCTGATACAGCCAGACAGCTGCAGGTCCATGTGTTTGACCTACAATGACTTCTGCAGGCTGATGTTGGACTGAAGCCACCTGCAACCTATTTTAGAACCAGTGTCTTACTTACTGACAGTTTTAGAGACAGCGGTGGGCCGTGAGGGTGGAGAGGCCGATTAAGGAAAAGCTTGAAAAACCATGAGGTCTTTCTATTTATTAGCTCACCATTAGCAGACTCAGATACTGCGTGATGAAGCTGACTCACTACCCCGTGCTCTCTGTTACGGTGTCTGCAGACCAGTCTCACACTGTATGTCTGCGCTGACTGATGAATGGGGCTTTTTGTTGGCAGCCCTGCTGTTGGTTTTAACAGGACGGGCTGACCTGATGCTGCTCATCGTCAGTAATTTAAAACTAGGAGGGAAAAAAGCTTATCGGCAGCGCTCGTTAGGCCTGACCTTTGTGTGCACAGAGACTGAACTAATGAAAAGTGAGGAGGATCAGATGCTGGGTGATTACATGCCAAAAGCTGTGTGAGAAAGTTCAGCAAGTATACGGACATCCATTCATTTCTTGTCTAATTTTTAAGCAGTCAATTTTAAAAATAAATAACTAGAACCCATATGAAAGTAGACACAGTCCATCTAATACCCCAAAATGCCAGTAGCTCAGCATTTCAGAGCCACATTTATCCCTCAGAAGTTGGTAGAGATTAAAAGCATTGCTGACAAAGAGAGACTGCCAGACTTTTATTTAAGAAGTGGCCAGAAATACACCAAAAAGTATCAGGTTAGCCAGCTTTCTCTTTACATTCAGGTGTTGTTATACTCCCATTCCCACAGGTTATTTTAAAGAGCTGTACTAGGACATGTTACAGTACAAGTCCTGTTAAAGTGGCAACAAGTCAGCTTGTGGAATCTCTTCACTGCTAGATATTCCATAATCAGCTGGTATTATTGCAAACCAGAAGGGTTTAGGAGCCACAAAGGTCATGTAAAGTTACAGAGCGAGGTCGCTGAGGTGCATAGAGCGTAAACGTCACCAGGACTCTGCTGACTCATCAGCATTAACATCAGCACAAAAACTGTGCACCGGGAGCTTCGTGGCATGAGCTTCTACAGCCCAGCCTCCTGTAGGCGTGACGTGCAGAGCCGGCACCTGTGTCCATAGCTTCAATGTCTCTAAATGTGAGCTTGTGCTGTCTTATAACTTCTGGCTGTGTAAAGAAGTCACAACCAACAGTTCAGGTTCAAAGCAGGAACTGTGGTTTAAGTCAAAGACAAAACAAGTCTCAAGCCTCTCAAATCATAAATGACAATCTGGAAGAATTAATTGTATAAAGGATTTAAAGGATGAAGCCGTCTGCACAGCATTTAATGGACTTTCAGAAAATAGTAAAGACTGAATTTCTGCCAGTGTGAAGTGTAACTGGAGAGTGAGAGCAGACGTTTGTTTAGATTCGGCATGTCGCAGGTTGTTACTCTACACTAATTAGTCTGCTGGGAAGTGGAACGTGTTTTTTATAGGAGCGGGTTGGACATGTGTTTCTGATCAGCCTCCACGCTGCTTCATGCTCTAATGTTTTGATCCTCCTCATGACCTCATCGTGTGTCTGGGTGGAGGACAGCATGAAGGCGGACCCGTGCTTTTTGACTTATTAAGACTCCTGCACACAGCACAGCGCCGCTCGTTTCTCCTCGTCTCACCCTCGTCTTTTACCCGATGCTTCCCTCTCTGCGTTCCAGCTTCTTCACCCTCGTTCTTTCTTCGTGTCCCTGGACTTCCACACCAATACTAAAACCACATACAGACTTTACGGGTAAACCATTAACAAACCACTACTGGTTCCATCAGGGAGATCAGATGTGGTACATGCTGTGAGCAAATAAGATGTAAGGCAGTCACACTCGGTAAAACAGCACTGAGAGGGAATAAGTAAGGAGTAAAATAAATATTTCTGGTGAAAAGCAAGTCCTTCGATTTCTTGTATGTTCTGATTACAGGAAGCTCCAAGTTATAATGGATGTGGAAAAGCTTTGACTGGATTTTTCTCCACAGAAGTGCCACCAACCAACGTGCACTGCACATAAATGAAAGGAACCGTTTTTGATCAGCATTAGGTCAGTCAAACTTCTCGGAGCTCGATCTGCTCAGTTAAATAGCAGAGGAGGTTGTTAATGACATGAACAACTGGTGCACTAGAGGGGCAACGATGAGACATCCCCAAACACGTTCATATTATCACAGCTGGATGCCACTGACGTTTTTCCCTACTTATTTTTTCAGACTGTTTTTCCTGTAGTGTTGCATTTGGTTAGAGTCAGTGTCACTACAGGTAGCATGAGCCGATACCTGGACCCTACAATGTTGCACGGGTAGTCCTGATGCACCGTCCTGAAGGTTTGTCTCAGTAAAGTCTCAAGAGCCTGGAGGAAATTCCAGGAGACATGCAGTTACTCCAGAGAGCTGAACAAGGCTGTAGAAGACCCTTAGTCCATCAGGAGGACTTATGAGTGAGCTTGCAGGGACAGTCTGAGCGCTGCCAGAGCTACAAAATGACCTCCATCAGGCTACTGGTGTGAATGTTTCTCACCAAACAATCAGAAACAGGCTTCACCAGGGTGGCCTGAGGGCCTATTGGGGTCCCTATGCTCACTATCTGGCACCATAGAGCGCAGTTGGCATTTAGAATACAAGACCAGAATTGGCAGGTCCACCAATGGTGCCCTGTGCTTCTCACAGGGACACATAGCCCTTTTCAGGCTAGCCAACAGCAGCCTGATTGCCTTCAGGTACTGGGATGTCAGACCCTACACTGGCACACTGGGCCCTGGGTTCCTCCTGGTCCTCGACAGTGCCCGGCCTCATGTGTATGCAGACAGGAACTGCTGACTGGCTTAAATCCATCCTTTCTCAGCACAAACCTCTAGAATCCATCTTGTAATGCTAGTCTAAATTCTAGAAGGCATTCATCGGTCTTACGTACGTATTAGTGACCTGGTTTGAGCCGGCCATACAAAATATCATTTGGTGTGATTTGTCCTTCTTTTGGTGCGCAAGGCCCGCCCGTCTCCTTCGATGCTGACAAAGCAAGAGATTGATGCTCAGGGAACCGTCCTGCTCCAGCACAGCTGCGTTGGCGACCTCGTCGTTCAGTATTCATAATAGGAAGCAAAGGTGAAAGCTTTCTATGTGGTTCCTTTATGTAGACATAGTTGTTTAACAGAGAGCTTCATTTCTAACGTTTCTATTCTCGCTCTTTGTACTGTGGAGAAACTCGATGTTCATCATGAACATCATGCAGCTTCTTAAACAAATGAAATCATTTGCATGATAATCTGGAAGTGATTCCAGTTCAGTGAAAGATGAGTTTCTCGTAAAGAAACGGACACTCTGCATTTACACTCAGCCTGTCGACACTAAACCCTCGTAAATAAAAACACGTTCTAAGTGATTGATTATTCTTTCTGCGTGCATAAAAAAAATGATAGCTACAGGCTGTGAAATGTTTGGTGTTGTGTCCGCGGTGCAGCTTTCCATCACTCATGTTTCCCTCTGCAGCTCATTAACTTTTGTCTGCTCTCTCCTGTAGAGAGACAACAAGATGCAGGTTGACACATAATTTGTGTTTTAATGATTGCAAACCACAACTCAGTTTGTAGCATAAAGACGTTTTGTTTTTTTAAACATTTATTTATTGGTTTTAAACAGTTTTACATGGTGCACCGTGAGCTAAAGAAAAAATAAAAAAACACTAAATAAGCAAACTAAGAACCCCTTTTTAAAAACACTATGATGATCTGGTTAGAAACACATAACTACTGGGGAGAAATGATACAACTGTCTCGGTTTACTCCGACATTTGGAAATAACAGCTTTCCTCCTGGTAGGGCGGATGCAGGTTTTAAATTTTGGTTCGATCAAGGTATAAGAAAAGTGTCTGATATATTTAGGAATAATACTCTTATGTCTTTTGAACAACTTGGAAGTACTTTTTCTATTCCTGTCAAACATTTTTTTAAATTTCTTCAATTAAGAAATTTTATCTTAACCACACAAGGTGACAGCTTAGAAATCTCCACCTCCTCCTCTCTAGAGAGCACAGTTAGAAAGCATCTAAATGGGAGAGGCCGAGTTTCTGCATTGCACAAATTATTTATGGAAAATTCCAAAGAATCAACACAGTCTATTTTAGAGGCTCGGAGGAAGGATTTGCAAATGGATATATCTGATGATGAGTGCTATAAATCACGCTCCTTGGCCCAGAGTCAGACAACCTCGACTACTTCAATATAAATGTTTAACAAGACAATATCTTACTCCGTCAAAAATGCATCATTTTAACTCAAACAGCACAGACACCTGTATTAAGTGTGGAGTGGACAGGCACTTTATTTCACTGTGTCCACAGGTGAAAATCTTTTGGGTAATAAATCTGTTGAGTCAAATTATTGGTGATGTGATCCATGTGGACTTAACAGCCTGAAACTCTAACTTGATTTGTGTATCTGTCCTTCCCTTTTGTTATGGTTTGCTTTGTTTTTGTTTCTATTGTTATGTTGTTTCTGTTGTTGTTGTGGTTTTGTTTTTATTTATTTATTTTTACTTTATACGTTTTTTTCTTTTAATTATTTCTTTATGTTTTAAGACCATCTCAGAACACAATTCTTCATTAGTAAACGAGACGTGTTAATCTGACCTGAAAGCATCTGCAGGCCACCAAATCTCCATCCTCCTATTGTTGTGTAACCTGTGGTCCCTCCAGCTGTTCTGGTGTCAATTGTCGTGAGTTTTTGTGTGTTTGTAGAGAGTGTGCGGGAGGCGGTGGGGCGCAGGGTGAAGCTGACCCTGAGGCAGAAAGTCCAGCTGGAGGTCAAAGGTGACAAGGTGGAAAACAGAGTGCTGGTAAGTGACAGCTGTTTAGTGCTTTTTACTGTAACCATGTGTACTCACAGTTGTTGTTAAACTTTTGTTTTTGTGCCCTTTTTGGCATCAGGAATGTTATATGTGATAGGTGGGAAGCAGGAAGTGTCACTGCTCTTAACCCTGGAAAACACAGCAAGCTGAGTGTGTGTGTGTGTGTGTGTGTGGGCATGTTGCTGGAGCGGGAAGGTGATGAAGCAGGAAGTGCAGGCTGAAGGTTTATCGCCACACGCAGCAGTTTGTATGTCTGTAGGAATTCATCTTCTTCTCATCTCAATGCTTACTCAGTATTTATTTGAATAGGCAAAATACAAAAGGGTGCTCTCGAATACTCCAGATGTCGTGCGAGGAGCGCTGCACAGGCAGTGTTTTTGTGGTCATTTTGGTTTTTTAGTTGCCTCGACGCGACTGTAGATTAGCAGCAGCCGGTGACTGATGAAGACCAGCGAGGAAGGATCGGTGCCATTTTTTTGAATGTTTGAGTGTTTATATATCACAACAGAGCAACCCGCACCTTTAAAATGAAACTTCTATCAGCAGTCTTGGTTCTGATATTGTGAGGTTTTCTCGTCAGCTCGTGTGCGGTTGTTAAATATTTTGTTTGCGGACGAGCTGCTGCTGCTCTGAGTCACGTTGGGAGTGCTTCCTTGTTTGGGTTCAGCTTCTCTGCAGCTCTACAATCTTTAAAAAGTGTAAAAACCGATGCACAGCTTTTCCCCTGTTTTCAAAATGAGCAGCCATTCTGAAACTTTTGTTTTGATTAGCGATGTCGGAGCAAACAAAAGAAGGAATGTTGCTTAAGTTGCTTAATTGCAGGGTGGACGTTGTGAAATGGGCCTCATGGTCGAAGTTGAAGAGGTGCTGGTAGAGCTTGATATCAGAGCTCTGTGGTGCTGCTGTTTCATGCCAGGCTGGAAAGCACCTCCTTATGGACACGGCTTCGTGAGTGGCGACATTGTCGTGCAGAAACAGGAAAGGAAATACCTCAAACGTTTGGCACCAAGTTGAAAGCAAAATCTCGTTATGATGAACTTTGTTTTGATTGAACAAGCTGTGCTAAGATGACGGGCTGATATTTACAGTTTAACCACTCAGGGGTTTTTTACCTGCAAGCCTCATTTGTACGAGCGCTGTTTTCCTTTTCTTTGTGTTCTTTTGTGTAGGAATCATGGAAGAATTTCCACACATACTGGGGAAGTCCTGAAATGAGGAAGTGGTGCAGAAATGAGGACTGATTGTTGGAACTTTTTGTTTGGTGATGTTGCTGCAAATATGATGCAGCAAAAGTAAAACTCTTATGAACTGTTGGAAGACGCAGCGCAGGGATAGGTGGGTGTTACCGGGGTATCTGGTTTCACCTAACTGCAGGTTTGTGTGAGTGTGGGAATAAGAACAGACAAATGAGTATCACCACTTCTGCTTAAAGCTCGTCCGCTCAGCTCAGGAAGTTCCTTCAAGCTCATTTCATTTTTTTACGTCTTTAACACACTTGTGTTTTCCTTTGGCCACATACCACGGCTCTGCAGCTCCTGTCAGGACTTGACTGAAGCAACCCACTCACAGCCACAGGGTGTTGGGACACACACACCACATTCCACAGCTGTATATCAGCAGTTCTACCCTATAGCTATAACTTCTTGAAATGAGCCAGCGTGCTCAGTGTTTCACGATAAAGCGTCCGGCTGGGTTTCTTTTCATTTGTGGAAATTAAAGTAAAAAACACATTTGACTCCTGAACTCCAACCCAGTGAACATGAATGTGTGTCTGCGTCCTGCATGTCAACACCAGGAATGAGTTTGTTTGTGAAGATGTGGGTCTGTAGTTTACCTTTGTGAAACCACTACAGCTGAACGTTCACACTGTCGATGTCTTTTGCACCCACTTCAATCGTCACTGACTCCAAACTATGAAGGAAACGTGTCTGAGCTGACACACAAAAGCTACAGATTCTAATTTTATCTATTTGTAATATTTGGGTCTCAGGACTGAGTGCTGGTGACCACCTAAATGTGCCCTCCATATCCACACGACACCAGTTTGTGTGCAGATTTTTTTATTTGTTACAACTAAAAATTGATCATTTCATCTCAATTAATAGATTTTTAAAAATATTTTTTGTGCCTTTCGCACAAAAGGCAGCGTTTGAACATGAATATCTTAAAGACTGTTAAAGATAAAAGCTCAGGATGAACCTGCAGGCTTCGACAGCACTTTGATGCACTCTGGTTCAGACGCTTTGCATCTGATTTCTCTTCCCTAGTCTGCTTACGTGGACTTACTCACCTGCTCACTGCAGCTCGTCTGCAGAACACCTGAAACAGGCCCGCCCCTCGGTCCATCGTCTGAGACAGTCGTATCTTCTTGGCTCGCCTCTGGCATTAGCAGATGTGACCTCACTAAACTGTAGGCGCCACAGCTGGCTCGGCCTCCTGTGGCGTACAGCTCGCTTTCGCTGCCCCACTTTGTTTCCTATAAAATCGTTGCAGTGAAAGTGTGATTACAAGGACCATTTACATCCCCACCATTTCACACCATAATTCATCAAACATCTCAAAAATAAGTCACTAATTTTGTCTGTAGGAGTCTGGCTAAGGCCGAGCGAGCAGCCGTAATGCGCACTTGCTCCCCGCCAGGATTGAGGTTCAACACGTGGTGAAAGATAATGTGTATTATTATCCCACTGGGCTAAAAACCTCTCCAGAAGCCGGCGCTGCTGCCAGCTTCTCTGCGAGGGAGAATACACAAAGCTGTTGGGACCAAAGGCCCAGAGGGACTGCTGCTCACATTTAGACTGAGAATGACTAAATTTCCTTTATTCTATTTATTTAGTTTTTCATGTGTAACATCATCAACGCCACAATTACAGTTTTTAAATTGCTCTTCTAACCGCAGGGAGTCCATTTGAATTCTTTTTCATTTTTTCTTCTTGTTGTTATTATGATTGTTATTATTATTATTATTATTGATGCATGAAAACCCTTTTTTGCCTGTTTTATTTAAGCGTGATTTCTTGTTGGGCGCTGATTGTACTCCATGACAGACAGCTGGAAACTCAGTGGCCAAGCTGTTCTTTGGGTGGATGCGTACACTGTAGTGCAGATGAGTCCACGTGGTCGCTAAAGCAGGCGGGCGCACAGATGTCCTCGCTGTCCACAGTCAGACCCCAGGATTTAGGTTGAACAGTTGCTGGCTGTGTGGTAGATGACTGTAGAGCGTGTAGAATAACCGTATGGATGTGTAGTCCAAAGCACTGAGCGTTCATTCATTTAAAAAGAAAAGTCTTCCACATGTTTTCATTCATGTCAGAAAGCACCAACTCAGTTTCTTCATCCTCATCTGTTGACCGTTGTCTGTCTTTGTCCTCAGGCTTTGGCTTCACATCGAGCCTTTCTGCTCACAGCACGAGTCCCCTCTAAGGTTAGTGACCCGTTCATCTCCACACTTTTAATTTCAATCTTTGTCTTTGTGTTTTGTGCTAAGTCGCAGTCTTTAACACGCTGAATGTCAGCCCATTCGATCGGCCACTGTCACAGAGAGCGTTTTGACTGGAGGGCAGCCTCGCCCCGAGCGTGACTACAGACTGTATTAATCTGTATTTCATCACAAAGTACAGCTATGTTTCTTATTAGTCACACATTATCTCCAAACACACCTTTGTATTTGGGCACTTGGCTGTGTATTAACAGGATGTGTTTAACTATTATACTCTGGGGTGTTTTGATCACATGATTTGCCGAGCTTCCATGTTTGCTAATTATCCTCCTTTTCATCCCGGACAGCTCCAGCACAGGTTAACATTCAGAAAAGTCCCCTGCATAAACACTATGGTTCCCTGATAAAACACATTGCCTTTCATGCATGTGCTCATGGTTTTTATTGGTCATATTGAACGTTACAAACCCACATTTTTTCTTGATTTCTCCGTATGTCTGAATTGTCGCGTCTCTTCTCCCCGTTCTCTCGCTGTTTCCTGCATGTGCCTCTCTACACAGTTGAGCAGGTCTCAGCACCATATGGAGACATTTGATAGTTTTACCCACAATGCAGCTGTGAGAAATCAGCCTGTGGGAAAGAAAAACAGTGACAGGAAGAAAAGTTCGACCTAGAGGGCGAGAGGCAGGGACGGAGAGGAAAAACATTCTGGAAAGAGCAGAAAAGTAAAGATGAACTATTTTCATGAACTCTTCAGACTGACAAAGATACGAGGGATCGTGAAATGTTGACGCTGCTTTATTTTTAGGCTGCCTGGGCACGATACGGAAGAGCAAACGTGACGTAAAACTAAGGAAAACCCCCCGTACTCTATCCCAAAACCCATTTTCAGCTGAATCCTGAATCTTTGTGTTTCCTCGTTTTAAGTTTAATAAACTGTTTTTAGAACTTCCAGCTCATCACAGTTCTGTATAATTAAAAAAGAGAAGTAGGTCTGTGGTTAAACACAGTTTCCACGATGCTTCCTTTTTGGTAGCATCTATTTTCATTGCTCCCTGGTGACTCTCGAGGGTTTTTTTTTCTTTTTTGGGGGCTTCTCAGCAATGAGTGTGTGAATCAGGCCAGACAGAGACATAAAGTCTGATTCAAAGTGAAACTGAGTCCTGGGACTTTGCTCAAACTAAAACTAAATGGCTGTTTGGCTCCAGAATGTCAAACACAGAATCGTGACCCCAGAAACGATGTATATGTTGGAAATATGGCGCATAATCATGGAAATCTCAGTCATATACGGTGTATAGAGGAAGATCTAAGACGAACACAGATGAACAGATCCCTGCTAATCAGTGCAAACTGACAAAGTAATAAAGTAATCACATTTTCCTCGCGTCTCGGTAATGTCACCATATTATTTGTCAGATAATTTCATTAATGCAAAAACCAGCACCGTTAACGAGAAGCATTAATTCATCAGCACCTTTGTTTACATGTGTTTTTTATAAGAAATCAGAACAAAATAACTGAATAGACTGATTAAGTTTGTCTCTGTATTTTTGTTTAAGAGGATTTCATTGCTGCCACAGTACAAACACAGTGGAGAGGTCCACTTTAGTGCCTCGGTGGAGCTTTGAGCCTCAGCTCTATCCCAGCTGATGAGCTGCTGTGAAGTCGGACAGTCTGCGAGGACGGACTCGCCTCTGGAGCCAGCTTTAAGGGGCCGTCAGAGGAAGTGTTCTGGCTCTGTGATTTTGGATCTGTGTTGCCAGTTGACGTTAATAGTTGCGTCATCACGATTGTTTTATTTAAGGTTGTTTTACGTTGTGCAATCGTTGCTGTCGGGGATTCCCTTATGACGGGATAATTGTTTTGTCTAAGCAAATGTTGTCTTTGATTATCAAATGACTGAAATAAGACTTTGTAGTTCAATGAGTTTAAAGCCGGCACTTTGTTAGCCGAGCGACTTTATTGGAAGCCACAGTAGAGGCCCGTGTTTAAAATGAGGAAATTATGACTGAAGTTACGTATCACGCCTGTAAAAAGCAGAGCAGAGTTTAACTTATTTGAAGTTTCTTTAATCAAAGTTTGGACCTGTGGAGGACCGACTGTGCTTTTGTTTGTCCGGGTTAATCCGGTTACCCGACTGAACAGAGCTCCTCAGATCAAAGTTGTCGGTCTTTTCGTGACACATTTAAAACCTTCCTTGTTTTAAAAACACGTTAGGATGATGAGTTGCGATGTTCAGAAACACGAGTGAACCTTACAGGCTGCAACGTGTTTCAGCTCCGCCAGCTGACCCCTGATCTGTTGTTCCACAGTGGGCCAGCGGTTTTTCTAACTGTGTATGAAGAGAGTGGAACAGAGGGCGGTTTGTTCCTCGGTGTGTACTGTCCCACCCCAGAGAGGCAGCGGGGAGGGGGGGGAGACAATGGAGGAATTTAACAGCTGGTGAGGAGGGCAGGGAGGGGGCACGGCTCGCCCTCTCGCTCTGCTTTCGCTTCGTTTCTTATTGATTTCTTCTACTCGGGCAAAGTCCAAACCGTCCTCTCTTCCATCCTCCTCCCCCTCTCGCTCTGCATCGCGCCTCTTCATCGTCTGTCAGCTCTCCGGTCACTCCATCTCTTTCGCTTTCTTTTTCCGCCTCCCCCCTTCGCCCCGCCATCGTTGTTGTGCTTCTCCCTCTTTTCCTCAGTCACACTTGTTCTTTTTGGCAGCGACCGCACATTATTTTTACTCTCTCTCTGGATTCAAAGGGAAGCGAGTGTGAGGCTCTGCTCCAGACATTTGTTCTGCAGACTATTTGTAGCCTGTGTTTTTTGCATTCCTGTAGTCTCGCTGATTTTTCTTCTTGCTCCTCTCTTCAGGGTTTGTTCAGTAGCAGTAATAACCCGCCTCGTATCGGCACTGCACGCTCTGTCCATCATGGAAAAGCATTTAAGAAATTCCTCCCTGGAGAATTGTTGATAGTGTAAATGAAATATAGTCCAGATGATTGGGAAAGCCTCCTTGAACGTTCTTGCGGCACAGCGAGCTGTCTCTGTTGCTCAACCACCAAACAAGTCGGCGCTTGAGAAGTTATTCTCAGTCCATCTAAAAACAAATACACACTCATCAAGGTAACACTTGTTCTGCTCCATGACTGAAAGTATGTGGACCCTCAACATTTCAGCCACGTGTGATAGTTTAACGATGATCAGCTGCTATAACAGCCAGGTTTCATTCTTTCCACCAGATGTTGCCTCACTTGGCTCACATCAGCATTGCTAACAGTGAAGTTGATAAGATCTGCCTCGCAGTCGGCCTTCAGTCCTAAATGTGAAGGTCAGGTTCAAACACTGAGCACAAGTGGTGTTCTTAGAGCTGTAGAGATGTCCACCTGTGGCTGCCGTCATGTCCACATCCACGAGAGTGAGCCTCTCATCACCAGTCGTTGCACGCCTCCTGTTTCCTGGTGCAGTTCAGGAGAGAGAAAATAGTTTTCTGTCTGAATTTTTTAGGTAATAATAATATTACGTTTTATTTATAGGCGCCTTTCAGACCCTCAAGGTCACCTTACAATAACACAAGAACAATAGCAGCAGTAAAATATGATAAACATGGCAAAATAAGATTTAGACATAAGGTGAAAAAACAAAACACAAGCATAAAAGTATATAGGTCACGATTTCTGGATGAAACTTTGCTGCTGAGTTTTTCAGTATGTTTCCATGCTTTGAGGCGAGTGCAAGGATCCCTGCAACAAATATGCAAAGGAAAAAACCTGGGCAGCTCAAACCAAACCTCTCTGTGCATCCTGTTACCTTCACATCTGCCCAGTTCAGTTGTTCAGACATACAGCTGTTGGCTCAAAAATGTAGATCAAATGGTGTGCGTGCATGTGTGTGTGTGTGTGTGTGTGTGCGTGTGTGCGTGTGTGTGTGTGTGTGTGTGTGTGTGTGTGCGTGTGTGCGTGTGTGTGTGTGTGTGTGTCTGTGTGTGTGTGTGTGTGTGTGTGTGTGTGTGTGTGTGTGTTGTGTGTAAGTGTGTGTGTGGTTCTGTGTGTGTGTGCTGTGTGTGTGTGGTGTGTGTTGTGTCTGTGTGCGTGTCTGTGTGAGTGTCGTGTGGTGTGTGTGGTGTGTGCTGTGTGTGTGTGTGTGTGTGTGTGTGTGCTGTGTGTGTGCGTGTGTGTGTGGTGTGTGTGTTGCTGTGAGTGTGTGTGTGTGTGTGCTGTGTGTGTGTGTGCGTGTGTGTGTGTTGTGTGTGTGTGTGTGTGTGTGTGGGTTGTGTGTGTGCTGTGCTTCCTTCACAGACTTCAGCTTGTCCAGAATGCTGTGGCTCGCCTCCTGACTGGCAGTAGAAAGCATGCCTCTATCACCCCAGTTCTTATTGAGTTGCATTGGTTACCCATAAAATATCGCATTGAATTTAAAATATTGTTGCTCACCTTTAAAATTATAAATAATTTAGCCCCTCGTTATCTTGTCGATCTTCTTAGTCTATATGTCCCTGGACGAGCCCTCGGGTCTTCAGCCCAATTACTCCTCCAGCCTAGATCTAGACTTAAATCTAGGGGTGACCGTGCTTTTGCCCTGGTTGCACCGAATCTGTGGAACAACCTTCCTATCGCTATCCGTGCGTCAGACTCCGTTTTATCTTTTAAATCCCGTTTAAAAACTCATTTATTCAACATAGCTTTTCCATCTAGTTAGCATCCCTGTTTTATATTTGGTTCAATTTCTTATTTATGTACTTTATCTTTTAGCTATATCTGTTCTTAGTAACTTTGTTCTTATATCCCCTTTTATTGCTGTATAATTAGTGCCCTTAACCTGATGACATATGTGGTACTTTGTTAATAGTCTTTTTTTATTGTCTTAATTTTCCTGTTTTTATTGTAAAGCACTTTGGTTACCGCTGGTCTTTTAAACGTGCTATACAAATAAAGTTGTATTGTTGTGCAGCACCTGAAATCCCTTCATCCAGCTAATGGCAGCTTGTGTTTTCACTGTGTGTGAGGGGAAAACGTTTCCTGGGAAGAGCCCGAGTTTCTCATGCTGAAGGAGGAGTGACTGTCACTTCACTTTGTTTTCCGTTGTAAATGTTCACAATGTGGGAAGAAAAAGCTCCTTTGGGATTGATGAAAAGTAGAAAAACACTTCTGGCTGTTTTTTCTCAGCCTGCTGCCCTTTCAGTGGCTCTTTGATCAGATGTGGAAATACAAGATTACGTTGACGGCGTCTCTTCTGAACCCTTTCAGGTTGAACAGTCCTTCAGCTATCTGGAAATCCAGGGAATCCAAAGCAACAAGCCCACACAGGTACAAACAACATTATTGAGCTTTTCATTCATTACATCGCAGCACACATGACAACATCTGGACTACATGCACATGTGTGTCATGTAAAACATTGACAGCTTTTCCTCATGAAGCTAAAGCAGGCTTGACTCGTGTCGAGAACTCTGACGCTGTCCTCTTGTCCACTGTGTGTCCTTCTGCATCATGTTGGTCTTTTAAACTGGAGAAGTGAAAAAGGCCTCCAGCTCTGCATTAACTCACTCACCTGAATCAGCCTCCTCAGGCTTTCAGGGGAAAACCAATCATCATCTGCGTTTCTTCACATCCGTGTTTCCTTCATGTCCGATTCCTTTGTGTGTGTCGCCCCCTGCAGCTGGTGTTGGAGCATGAGCACGGCTCGTGGAGCCTCCGGCTGGGCTCTGCAGAGGAAGTGGACAAGGTGATCGCTCACATCGGCAGCTGTCTGCACCGGATCTGCCCGGCAGGCGTACCGGTGTAGGTACCACACGGCCAGCAGCCGCTGGAACTGTTAGGCTGATAACACAGAACCACAACCTGACAGAGGGTTGGAAAGACCCTTTAAGTGTGAAATAAAGTTTTCAGTGTTCAGTTTATTCAGTAAAGTTTAGAATGATGATGAACAATTAGTTTCCATGTGATACTTAAAACAGGAAAAAGCTCATTTAACAGCACGGCACCTTTAAGGGTTTGACATCTGTTGGAGGTCATTGTGTTTGCTGGAGGGACGCATTTGTGGATGCAGAGGAATTAAAATATAAGTATGAAACAAATCTTCAGGAGACTTTTCTGGACTCTGCTAGAGTGTCGTTCCTGTAATCGGCTGCACGGTGCACGTTTGAAGCAGTCTGACGCTTTCAGATCACTGTCATGACCGATACACGTGTCGGCCTCATTATTCGTCTCTTTGACCATGTTTAATCTGAGAATCAAGAGCCTGAGCAGATCCAAATTGTGCAGATCTTAAGTTTAAGGTCATCTTCTTATGCACCTCTGAAGCATTTTTAGCACGGCTGTTAGTTTTAGATCCCACAGTGGATCTTTGCAGTGTGTGCAAATCCTCTCCAGCAATCCTTCAACGTGGTTTCATTTTCAGGATGTTACAGAAAGTCTCTGTGATGATGGTCGCATCCATGGTGACCACTTCATGTTCACAGTAATTCAGTTCATAGAAATCACACATTTGTGGCCTTTGCACCCAGATGAAACCAAATGTATGTTTTCAGTCTAGTTGACTGCTAAACAAACTAAAATCTCGTCATTAGTTATGAAAATGTGAGTTTAGTCCTTGTTTCTTTTTATTAGCTAATAAAGTCGAGCTTGTCTTTTGTTTTCTTGTTTCCTGTCTTTAGTTTCAGTTGTTGCTTTGGGAGTTTTGTGAAGCTTTTGAAATGATTTTTAAAAAGTGTGGAAATGAATATGAAATGATTCTGTTTTGTTGTCCTGCTTTCTCCTCTTTTGTCCCTTCCTCTCTCTGTAAGGAAGGAAGATGATGAGGAAGTTAAACTTGAAGCCCGCGGACAGGCTGGCAGCCCTGCAGGCCATCTGGGACGAGCAGGCGTCAGCTGACCTGGGACCGTGCGGTACATCATCGTCACTCACTTCCCAGACACACCAAGTCACATGTTTAAAGTGTCTGTGCTTATTCGCTGCTGTCATGTGACTCTTTGCAGGCGGCTTCTCCCATCAGTACTGGTGTGTGTGTGATTACCTCCGCCAGCCGTACAGAGAGGAAGTCCAGTGGGTCGGTGCTGCTCGCTGGAATCATTACTCTTTTTAATCTGATGAACTTTGTTTCCTCTCTTTCGTCTGTAGTCATCAGCTTCTTTTCTTATCTGCCGCTTTCTGTTTTTCACTGATACCTTTTCCATCTTTTTTTCTTCGCCTGCTTCTCTCCAGATGTTTTTACTGTGATGTCACAGCCATGTTGAAGCAATAACTCAGATTCTTGTCACATCTGCTGGAGCTGCGTGTTTCTGCTCTTTTTTTAAGTTTGTGGTTTCTTTCCTCTCAGCCTCACGTCTTTTCTTGTTGTCACCAGGATGTGGACACCATCTATCTCACTCAGGACACCAAAGAGCTCAACCTGCAGGACTTTGTTCATCTGGACAACAAGTACTGAAACCACTCAACACCTCATTATGTATCGAGAGTGACTTTGAATATGGGGGGACCAGTTTGATCTTCATTTTTTATGTGCAGTATCAACGCATTTAATTACAGATTCAGCTGTTTTGTTGTTGACGCTTCAAAAGCACTCTTGGCATCACATTTTTCATTGTGCTGGGTGAATGAGGTGTAAACTTTCAGGTCAACGTCAGCAGCAGTGTTTGATGTCCTTTTTTCTGTGTCACTGTGTGGAATAAGTGAAGGTAATGAAGGCACATTTATTTTGTCCTTTCAGGGATTTGATTCCAATCATTACAGTTCTGGAGTACAACCAGTGGTTCACTAAGCTCTCCACCAAAGACTACAAACTGGTAACATCCTGCACAAATCCCGCTTTACCTGTGACATAAAACATCCACACATGGCCTCCTGTGTTTTTATCATAATGTTAAAAATCCTTCGCTATATAATAAAAATTCTTTATTTATTTTTATGTGACTGGGATTCAGTTTAAGACCCGAGTCTGTTTTGTCTGTTTCAGCCGACAGATGTGTGCGACCAGATTTTGAGAGTGGTGGCTCGATCGAGCCGGCTGGAGGAGCTGGTGCTGGACAATGCTGGGCTCAAAAGGTCAGAGGTCAAATAAGAGAGCCAGGCACATGTGATTTGTGCTCGTTTTCTGTTCTTCCATATTCTCCACATTTGTCAGTAAAGAGTAAAAAAGAGACCCCGACTGACCGATCTGCATTGTTGTTGCTCGTGTTGAGACTTTGTTAACAAAATCTTGCTAAGCCTGCTCGCTCTTCTTCTCCTGCAGTGATTTTGCTCAGAAACTGGCCGGCGCTCTGGCACACAACCCCGCCTCCACACTTCAAACACTCAATCTGAGCAACAACTCGCTGGAGGACAAAGGTTAAAAAATGTGTACACACACAGACACACACACACTACAGGCCGTGACGTATCAGCACGGCCTTAAACATCCCAGGAATACAAAAGAGACGATGTTCTCGTAGAGCATTACTTCATTTGTTATTGTCGCGGATGAGAACTGGCATTAATTTCACTTCTCATTATGTTTCATTTTTTTTCATCTGTTAAACATTTGTTCAGAGTTCTGTTATCCGTCTCCCTACGGGGCTTCCAGCTGCAGTCAGGCGCCCTCTGGTGGCCATTTTTAGCACTTTAAAGTCTAACGCACAGGTGTCCAACTCCAGGCCTCGAGGGCCGGTATCCTGCAGGTTTTAGATGTGTCCTTGATCCAACACAGCTGATTCAAATGACTAAATTACCTCTTCAACATGTCTTGAAGTTCTCCAGAGGCCTGGTAATGAACTGATCATTTGATTCAGGTGTGTTGACCCAGGGTGAGATCTAAAACCTGCAGGACACCGGCCCTCGAGGCCTGGAGTTGGACATCCCTGGTCTAACGACTTCAAATACTGATGTTTGTTTCCTGCAGGTGTTGCAGCTCTGAGCGCTCAGTTTGCCAAACTGCCCATGGGTCTAAAGCACGTGAACCTCTCCAGGACTTCCATGTCTCCTAAAGGTGAACAAACACAGGGACACTGAGAAGACGTCCTATTTTGTGAATTCTTACCTTTTTTTTAAGTGTTGTCATCATTTTCAGGCGTAAACAGCCTCTGTCAGGCTCTCTGCGCCAACCCGATTGTGGCCTCCACCCTCACACACCTCGATCTGTCGGGAAACTCCCTCCGAGGGGACGACCTCCCGGTATGCAGTCGCCCTCGCCACCGCATCTCGTATCAAACGCCAGGCTGGGCAACACTCGAGCTACAGTCACAGTTTGTGTTTTTTGTCTTCACAGAACCTTCACAGCTTCCTGAGTCACTCAAACGTCCTGGAAACCCTCGATCTGTCCAATAGCGACTGCTGTCTGGAGCAGGTCAGAACAACTTTAAAACTAAAAAGTCGGGCTCTGTGGTTCCATCGCGTTCTGATTATGTTTTTCTTCATCGTTCGTTATTGTGCTTAGGTGTGTTCGTCCCTGCTCAGAGGATCTTTGAAGCACCTTTCTGTCCTCAACATGTCAAAAACAGTCTTTTCTCACAGGTCAGATGTTAATAATGATGCACCTTAGTGTGATGTCTCTGCAGATATCCAATCTGATCACAAATGATGCATTCATTTCTCTTTTCATTTCTTCAGCAAATCTTATCCAACAGTTGTTTTGTCACTTGACATTTAACGATGTGTTGATGCACGTGTCCTCACAGGAAGTGTAAAGATATCCCTCCGTCCTTTAAGCAGTTCTTCAGCTCTGCTCAGGCTCTGACGTCCGTCAGTCTGTCAGGAACCAAGCTGCCTCTGGAGGCTCTGAAGTAAGACTGTGATTTTAAACGACACATATTCTGTACACGTTTCACATGAAAGCAAATTCGTCTCTGAAGCGGTTTGACGCTGAAGTAAGTGCTTCAATCGCTTTGGTCATGTTTGAGCGTAACAGGTCTCCTGTTAGTGTTTTCAGTATAACGTTTAGCTGATTTCTGGAAACCTCAGGGATGTGTTGCTGTTCACACAGAGACAGATGTTAATAAAAGGAAGGATAACCTGGAAAAAGTGACACTGATGTCTGTAAGTCACACTCGCTGATTCATTTGTGTCTCTGCAGATCTTTGCTGTTGGGACTCGGCTGCAACCCGAACCTCAGCGACGTGTCTCTGGACCTCAGCTGCTGTGAGGTAAGGCTGCAGCACGCTGCGTGAGTGTGGAGGCTACATGTTGTTGTGATTTGTTCTACACAGATAAAGTAAACTGGAAGTATTGGAAAAGTGTTTACAGCGACTGTCTTCTGCTCCAGCTGCGTTCTGGAGGCTCCCAGATCCTGGAGGGTTGTATTGCTGAGATTCCCAACATTACCAGTCTGGATATTTCTGACAATGGTGTGGAAATTTTACTTTTAGTATTAAAGCTGCTCCTGTACTTGCTTTGAGTGTGATCTTGGTTCATTCATGTTTCCGTGCTGCCTCACGCAGGCCTGGATATGGATCTGACCACCCTGCTCGTGTGGCTGGCCAAGAACCGCTCCATCAGACACCTTTCACTGGGCAAAAACTTTAACAACATCAAGACCAAGTGGGTGACAGACAAGCCACAAACATGGGTTTGCACTCTTTGTTTCACTGCGGCACAATTACTCACCTGGTAACGTTTCCCACAGGAATGTGGCTCAGGTCCTGGACAATCTGGTTCATATGATTCAAGAAGAGGAATCCGTAAGAAACTTTAAACACTAAATTCGTGTTTAAGGCTTTAAATTCATCCTGTTTTGATCTTAAACACTCAAAATGTGTCCGTTACGTACCCGTTTGCAGCCGCTGACCTCGCTGTCCCTGGCTGATTCCAAACTCAAGGCCGACCTCTCCATCGTCCTCAACGCTCTGGGCAGCAACACCTCTCTGACCAAACTGGACATCAGTGGAAACTCCATGGGAGACATGGGGGCTAAGATACTGGCCAAAGCCCTGCAGATCAACACTAAGCTCAGGTGAGCTCAGGTGTTTCATCTTTAACTCGTGTTGTGGTGAACATCAAGAAGCTGAAGAGGATTTTAATGTCCTACAGCGATGAGCTGTAGGACATTAATCCCAAAAACATCCTGGCAATCTTTTCATTTCTAAAAGTTTCTCGTAGAGGATACTAAAAGAGTTATTTTCCTTTTTTGGCTGATTAGTGTTTATATTTGTTTTGTATCTGCAGGACGTTAGTGTGGGACAGGAACAACCTGAGCCCGCAGGGGCTGCAGGATGTCGCTGCCGCTTTGGAGAAGTGAGTGTCCAGGAAGGTGCAGCTGCTAGCTTTAAAGCCCAGCTCCGGCTTTGGTGTTGTGTGAGTGAATCAAATGTGGTTTTTCCCCATCAGGAACTACACCATCCGTTTCATGCCTGTTCCCATCATGGATGCTGCTCAGGCGCTGAAGGCAAATCCAGAGAAGACGGAGGATGCGTTGCTCAAGGTTTTGGTTTTCTCTCTTTTGGTCTTGTAAAGATCATTTCTGTGTGATCTCACCGTGTGTTTTCTCGTGCAGATGGAGCAGTACCTGCTGAGGAACCACGAGACGCGTAAATACCTGCAGGAGCAGGCGTACAGACTGCAGCAGGGAATCGTCACCACCACCACACAGCAGGCAGGCGCAGCACAGATTTCTCTCTTGGTCTTTTGCAACAACTGCTGTGTGTTTAAGAAACAGATCTGTCAGAGAGGATGTATCTACAATAAAACCTCCCCCAGCACAGAGCGGCTGCAGAGGTGGTCAGGATCAAAGCAATGGCTTTGATCCTGCTGCTTGAACTAAGACTTTTATTTAAGAAACACAATGACACATTCAACAATTTGACTTAACAGTTTTATTGATTACAAAATACGCCATATCGGATTAATATCGGTATCGGCAGATATCCAAATTTATGATATCAGAATCGGTATCGTGCCATGTCTACTCTGTACTGACTTTAATTTAATTGTACGTTACAGATCAAAGGGACTTTAAATAATTAAAGTATTCAAAATATCGCGTGCAGTGTTGTCTGACCTTTGACCTCTGTGATGCAGATGATGGACATGATGTGTGTGAGGGTGCAGGATCATCTGAACTCTCTGAGGTTCACAGAGACCAGCGCCGTTCAGGAGGACATGAAGGTGGCCGAGAACCTCATGAGGGATGCCAGAAACTCCAAAACCGTAAGAACGTGCAGCTCACCTCAGATCCACCAACACTAGCAGCACAGCCTGTGTGCGGCATGGAGACCGACCCAGACGCTCCTCACTCATATCCTTTACTTTTTATCGCAGCTGCTTCCCAACCTGTACCACCTGAAGAGTGCAGGCTCCACAGGTACGTGTGTCGGAGCTATTCAGGATAAACTGGAGTCGATGGCTGGAGAGATAGCTGCAGTGATGGACGACCAGCTGCAGGTAAGAACGGCCATTTTTACCCCTGAAACGTGGCTCTAATCTCGGCTGTGTGACGGGAAAGCAAGTCGAGCCTTAAACTCTAACTCGCTCACCTCAGACGATGCTGAGGTCCATGGTGGATGCTGCAGAGGCCCTGTGTCCTAATGTGATGAAGAAGAGCAGCCTTCGCCAGGAGCTGCTGAAGGCCGGTGCGGGGAGGATGACCATTCCTCGCAGCTTCGCCACCACCACGCTGCTGGAGCAGTCCGGGGTCGACATCATCAATAAGATCAGGTCTGAAATGCAAACGAAGCTCCTTAAAAACACTTAAAGAGCTTCTGATCCTCAGCACACACACTTTTTTAAAATTGTAAAATCTTGTAATACCTTTTGATCTTAATATCCTGGGCACATGTGTAACACGTGTCTTATGTCGCCCGTGTGTGACAGTGAAGTGAAACTCGCCGTTGCCTCGTTTCTCTCTGATCGCATCGTGGATGAGATCCTGGAGTCTCTGTCCAGATCACAGCACACTCTGGTTGGTGTCCTCTTCACCTCCACCACCTTTCTTTTTCTCCTCGTCGAGGTCTTCCTGGTTATCCCTCGTTATCTTTCTCTGGCTGTTTTCAGGCTGACCATCTGATCAGAAAGGACCAACCTCTGGTGCATCACAAGCCCCATTTGGAGATGGAAGTCTTAGATGAGACAGTTCTGCAGCCAGAGAGCTACGACCAGGATCAGAACCAAGATCGGGGAAATGACCTGGACGATATGGACTCCATGGTAGGAAAACACTAGTATGAATGATGTGCTACGAATGTTTCAAAGTCATCAGTAACAGAGCACAAGCTTGCCACATGAAGCAGGATTTAAAGAAAACAGGTCTGTTAATCCGTTCAAAGTGATCTCCTTGGGCCCCGCCCCTCCCTGAGCCTGGTTCTGCTGGAGGTTTCTTCCTGTTATAAGGGAGTTTTTCCTTCCCACTGTCACCAAAGTGCTTATTCACAGGGGGTCTTTTCTCTGTATCCATTATTTTAGGGTCTACCTTACAATATAAAGCACCTTGAAGCGACTGTTGTTGTGATTTGGAGCTTTATAAATAAAACTGAATTGAATTTCAAACATACAAACTTGAAGGCAGAGGCAGGAGATCATTTTCTGCTCTGGGTCTAAACTTACATCTACAACATGGAGGAGGAGAATTCACCTCGAAGAGTGAGACTTCCACAGATGTGTGTGAGTACAGCAGAGACCTGGGAGCGGTGTTAGCGCTGCGCTAGGAGGTCACCTTGATGGGTTAACAGCTAAGCCCAAATCTGCTGTGTTTGTTTTTATGGCTGTACTCGTGAGAGTTTCACGTATTTGTGTGACAATAAAAAAAATAATGATTAACAAAAATACTTTGCTGTTTAGATGATACCCAAGTCCAAGAGGAAGAGCATTCTGGTCAGGATGCTGAGGCCCGTGTCTGTGGCGTTTGGTAAGTAACATGTTGAGTCAGGCGCCGGTGACCCTTTGAACCTGGAGGAGGTGGAAAATAAACAGTATGGAGACAGTCGGCAAGCATTTCATCCAGACGGGGAAAAGTGAACTAGATAAACAAATCTACTCATTACTGTTAGTCACTGATGACACTGACGTCTAAGCATGTAGAAACTCTTCAAAATAAAATATAATACAGCTCCTTATAAGGCTTTAGACCAGGGGTGTCAAACATCAGGCTCGCGGACCAGAATCAGCCTGGCAGAAGTGAAGAAGGACACAGATTTGAACTGTATTTTCATAAGTTTACAATCTGTCTTCTAGTTGTTTCATGTCTTGTGTATCCAGTATCATGGGACAAAATATAACACAACATCTTAGCGTGAGGACCTGCAGCGGTGGTATTTGACTTGTTCGATCTTGACTTGTCTTTTTGAAATTCCCATGAGGCTTTGCTTCCTTCTGTCTTTGCCTGTCAGAGTTGGAGTTTGACCTCGACAAAGCTCTGGAAGAGGTACCTATCCACGTCGAGGACCCTCCTCTTCCTTCTCCTTCACAGCTGGACAGAACGTCAGCGTACTACGAAGACCTCCCCCCTCCCCCGACTCCACAGGACGCAAAATCTGCCCCGCTGGCCGAGCTGCCGCCCATGGAGCACAAAACTCTGGAACATCACACCAAATTCCGGCCAAAACCCAAGAGGACGAAACCCGCTCGGCCACACGTAGGTCTCTAACATCCCCAAATCAACCCTGGGATGGATGTTTGGGATTTGTTTTGTGAGTCCTTTTAGTGTAAACTCATCATCAAATAATTGAGCTCTGTTTGTCTCTTTCAGCGGGAGGCCACGGGCGGCTCGGCGCCACAGGAAGCAGAGCCGAACAGCATCATGGGAAAGCTGGACGAGGGCTTGGATGACTTCTTCTCCAAGAAAGTCATTAAACTCGGCTTCAAGTGAGCATCGTGCCAAAACTGTTTTACATATTTTCACTCTTTAAGTAATCTTACTTTTAAAAGTAACTTATTACAATAGTAACAGTTCATTACGTTACCTGAAAACAGCAGTTTGCTAAAGTACAAATATGCACATCTTTGTATTTAGCTTGGCAACCGAGGCTCAGGGGGTTGGAAAGCTCATCTTGTAACCGGAAGGTTGCTGGTTCGATCCCCAGCTCTGTCTGCCTTGGTCGTTGTGTCCTTGAGCAAGACACTTCACCTACTGGTGATGGTCAGAGGGGCGTGATTTAGCAGCCTCGCTTCTGTCAGTCTGGGGCAGCTGTGGCTACAACTGTAGCTGCCTCCACCAGTGTGTGAATGTGAGAGTGAATGAATAGTGGAATTGTAAAGCGCTTTGAGGGCCTCGAAAAGCGCTATATAAATGCAATCCAATTATTATTATTATTATTAGCCAGATGGTGTAAAGCCTACCGTGCATTCACCTTTGACTGTAGGCTAAATACAGGCTGGAGGACGATTTGCGGATGTTAGAGACCTGCATGTGACCAGCTGGGATTTGTCCTCTTGAGTTTTGGATAGTGGCAGATGCATGTATTGGTTGGATTTCCTCCACCTCGTCCTCATCTGGTGCTAAACAGCTGTAGGATTGGATATTTTCCAGTCCTACAGCTGTTCAGCTCCATGTCGAGAAGTCAAAGAGACGTAAACATTGTTTTCCCTTTTTTTAGTGACATTAAAGTGATCATTTCCCAAATTCAGTTGGTCATGTTGGTTAAGGTTTTCTTATAATTTGAACATGTTTGGCATCAAATTCACTTTTGAGACTGAATAAATTTAGCTTTTCTCATTTTGATCATCTCCAGAATTCCCTCTGGGAAAGGTCCGTCCACCAGCACTCAGGAAGGAGCGGATAAAAAACGTGAATCCAGGAAGAGTGGTTTCTTTAATCTCATCAAACGAACGTCCCGTTCAGAGAAGAGCCATGGATCTGCCGCCATCACCCCACCTCAACCTGCCTCTTCTGCCACAGCTGCACCCCTTTCCCCGTGCCCAGTGACTTGGGAGACGACACCGGCATCTCCCACATCACCTGTGAAAATCTGTCCCATTGTGGCGGAGCCCGAGCAGGAACCCCACAGGTCTCACTCTTCGAACCACACAGATTCTGAGATTGAGGCGTCTCCAGCTGCCACCGAACCTGCAGAGGAGGAGAAAGAAAAGAAGAACCTGGAGAGTAAGGAGAACCTGGAGAAGACAGAGCATGTGGAGAAAGTGGAGAAGAAGGGAAACCCCCACAAACCCCGTCACATCGGAGTTCCTATGATGAGAATGGACCTGATGGCTGAGATGAAGGCCAGGCAGGAGAGAATGGCTGGGAAGAAAGTAGGTGGAGTTTAAAGTTTGGATGCATCATTAGCCAAAATATAAGACATGAATGTTCATGGGGTGGACAAAATAATAGGAACAGACCAGTACCACATTACTGCTGAGTGCAGCTACAGTAGTAAAGTAGCTTCATCGTCAGAACTCGTCAGAATGATGCAGCGACGTAAGCCGAGCTGCAGATGTTCCTAATGAAAAGGCCAGTAGGAGCGCACTCAGTGACTGAATATAAAGATGTCTTTCTCTGGTTTCAGACGGAGGCAGCTCACGCACAGGACAAGGTGGACGGTGACAAAGGTTTGTGTCTTTATCATCTTACCTTCAGATGAGGCTGAACATGAAAGGCAGGGCTCCACTTGAAATTTGAAATGCCATGAAAAATGTGATGTTTCAAGCGTGCTGGCTCTGTGCTGACGGTGCTGTCAATCGTCTTCCTGCAGCCAAGTCAGAAGTCCATCACGCCGTGCCAGCAGACACTGATGAATCTAAACCGGAGCCATCACCCAGGGCTAAGCCATCTGGTGTCACCCCCAAACCACCCCAGGCTACCAAAGCACCCCTGGTAGCCTGCACCTCTGGGCCCCTCAGCCCAGCTAGCCGCCGACCAAGCAGCACCTACGTCTCTGGTAAGCAGGGAGAGGGCGAAGCCACCACTTTGAAGCTGAAAAATATATGCAGTTCCCATTTAAAACCAGACCAAGTGTCTGACTGGTTGATTCCTCTGTGTGTCAGATGAATGTGGCAGTGCTCCAACGGGCAGCTTGTCTCCCAAAGCACCACTTCCTGCTCCTCGCCTGAAGAGGGCACCATCAGAACAGGAGCGAGCGAGTACCAGCAGCAACCCTGCAGAAGCTCTCTCTCCTCAGAAGGGTTAGTACCTACAGCACTGTGCAAAAGTCTTGAGTCACTCTGATTTCTTTATATTTTTCTTTCAAGCCACCGGACCTCCTTATACTTGGTTCACTGTTTTTCATTGGACACCGTCATTTTCGGTCCAGTCCTGGATGATCTCGTCACAGCTGATGAGACCGATGGACAGAAAAGTGCCGTCATACTTTGGTCCACCGTGCAGTACCGTCTGCACATTTTTCAGCAGAACAATGATCCCACATACGATACCAGTGCAGTAAAAACACTATGGGTCATGGATCGGCCTCCCCAGAGCATGATCGAAGCAGCACATCTTGGTTTCCTTTGCATGGATCAGATGTTTCAATAAATCGCAGCACTTATTTTTCATTATCCTGGTAAAATGTAAAGAAATGAGGCGTCACACAAGACTCATATATGTAAAACCTTTCAATAAACAATTTAAGATAATCAATCTTTATTAAAAGGCATCAATCTCAGTCTATAAACATTATAGTTCAGGTATTATTTATTTATTACTTATTTTTTATTGATAAGGTGGTTTAAATTCGGCACAGATGGCCACTCAGACGATGTCAGACAGCCACGGCTGCTGAGACGCTTCCCTGCGATGAAGGCTGCACGACTCGCCGCTCTGGCAAAGCACAACACTTAATTTACCAGGTTCCTGCATGTTTAATGGAGGCTTCCAGGGCCGTGTTTGACGCCTCCACACACCACACATGTTACGTCTGAAGCGATGGTCTGTCACACTTAAAGCAGATGCGTTCAATCCCAGCCTGTACTTGATACGTCCAAATGTCACTGTGCGGGGGATTTGGTAGTTTAATGCTTTAGTTGTGTAATTAACGCTCACAGGGACTCAGTGTTTTTCCTTAAAACAGCGACTCAGCTGCGCAATAAGAAAAAAAGACGACTTCTCTTCTTTTTTTAATTGTTGTGTAAAAAGATGTGATTTTAAAGTCAAAGAGACGAGAAGAAAAGGTCATTTGTACGTTTCCAGGACAGTTTATTGCACTCTTCAGAGTGAGTGTGTTTCAGCTGATGAAGCGTTGCAGAATATCTCAGTGTGAACCGCAGAGTTGTTGTTTTAACCTCGTTCAATATTTTATTTTTAAAGAAAACACGTGGATGAAAACATCAGTTTGCATCCACGTGTTTAATGGTGTTGATACATGCAACCCTGCACATTAGCACACAAATATTATACCAATTATATATTCACGAAAAATTAAGGAAAGACTGATCTGTTCGTACAATAAGATGTGTAATTTGTCCAATATTATTCTCAGAAGATGCCTTAAAAGGCACCGACACCAGCAAACACAGAGCAGAGGTCCAGTGGAGGTCGGGACGCCTGTCAATCAAACGGCCTGCGGCAGTTATGCTAAACTGCTTTAAAATTTACTCAATAATAAAAAAGCTTTTTTAAAATCATCCACTATGAAGTTATATTGGAAAGATTATTGAGACACTTTTTGCATCAAGCTGTAAACAAACTTTGCATTTTAACAGAAGAGGCTTTGGGGATGGAGCCGCACCTTCAAGTGGCCATTAGAGGAACTGCACTTTATTTATTTCCTTCATTTTCATTAGTTTCTTTGATACCGTCTTCATCCTGTAGGATAGTACCTTTCTGACTTCCAACACTTACCTTTGCATTCAAACCGGTTCCTAATCAGTCATCGGTAGGTCATATCTGCTGTCCAAGTCCACGCTGGGAAATCAAATGAAGCCGCTGAGAGTTTTCAGCTTCAAATTTGTGTCGGTCTTTACGGACAGTGTGTCCTTCTCTTCCAGCAGGTGAGAGTTCCACAGACGGCGATGTGTTTGATGGATCCGTCGAAGGCGCAGCGTCTGGCGCGGGCAGCCAGCGGTCGTCATCTCTGAAGAGGACAGTCAACCTTTCAGCTGCAAGCGAGGACAACCGAGAGCGCACCAAATCCCTCCCTGCCTACGGTACAACCAGTCACACTTACAATCACTGCATGTTGGTGCTCGATGGATCAGTCAGGAGGATGATCTGCTGTATTCTGTCTCTGCAAAGATGTTTTGAATGCCCAGAGCATCACGAGTAATCTGCAAAACCTCGCAGCGTCCTCCCTGCTGATTGGGTCTAGTACTGTATGAATAATAACCACATCCTCTTTTTAGAAAAACAAGCAAACCTCATAGTAAAGTATACAGACTGTATTCCACAGGCTTGAGGTGGTGTTAGAGTGCATCAGTATGATTATCTTTATCACTCTCTGCAGTGAGGCCTCCATCTCTGTCTGACGCACCTCCGAGTCCAGCTGATGAAGAGGCCGATCTGAAGTCTAACAGCAAATCAGAGGACGAGTCCAGTGATGACACGACATCAGTCTGACACCTGTAAGGTGTTTGCAGTCACCTAAATCCTGCTCGGCCACCTTTAAGGAGGCCGATCTCGTTCATACGGACAAAGACACACGTGTAAATATTTTTCTTTGTACGTGCAGTGGATGCTGCACTTTGTCATGCTGTTATCAGTGGGACTTTCCCGACCTTGGATTAGTCCCAGCTGTCAAAACAACGTGCACATCAAAACAACCCCACCACTGTTTCTGTCCAAAGCTCTAATAGGACCATAAAGAGCAGGAGGATGGGTTTTATCTGTGGCTGCTTAGATGAACATACTCAGCAATAAAAAGCTCACTTAGTCCAAAGCACTGAGGAAAATGAGTCTGACTTGTTGTTTTTGTGCGACTGTAAGAAGGTCAAAGTCTAAAAATCTTTCTTTATTATCTTTAAATCAGCAAATTCAAAGCAGCTGGAAAATTCTCCAACTCATTAGAAGAGCAACAAACCAGTCAAAAAATTCTGTTCTGAATTTTCTGTCGCTCCGTTCTGATAGCGAGATAAATCCTAAATCAATCTGCACATTGTGACAGTGATGTTTCCTCAAAGACACGCGTGTTTGAGAGCGAGTCCACTCCATGGACTCCAGCCTGGAACATTAAAAGCAGTGACTGGAGGTTGGGCATGCTTTATATAAGCAACGTATTAGCTTGTGCAGAATGTAACAGATGTTGATTTATGTGTAAAAGTGCTAGACTCCAGCTCTAATGTCATAAAACAGAGTTAAATATAAGGTTAATGTCCACGACCAGCCAGCAGGCTGAGATGATTCCAGATGTTCCCAGGACAAAACACAGAGTAGGGAACGATTGTTAAACCAGAAACGATGCGGTGTATTTAATTAGAGCACCATCAGATTATCATTATTATTTATTTTTATTTTTTAATCAAGATCGAGATGTAACATTTTAGCGACATAAACGGAGCGTCAGAGGAACAGTGAGACGATGCTGCGTTTATGTCGAGTGGACTGTAAATGCTGCTTTCGTCCACGTCCACTTCCGACTGCAAACCTCCAATTAGAGCCTTCCAGTCACCGCGGAGGGAAATGATACAGACGCCTCATTTCATCCACAGCTTGGCCTTCAGCCCAGTTGAACAGTGGGTTTGAACCCAGAAAAACAGCTGCTACGCTCATTTTACGTGATGTGAACACAGCAAAAAAACCTCAGCAGGTGGAGACAGAGAGCAGCTCGTGCTCCTTTTATTTATTTGCTCAAAGTCAGGCAAAAGTAAGCCAACAAGGAGGATGGTAATATGAAGATTTGAGATGCAAAATTTAAAGCAACAGTTCACCCCAAACTCACGTTTGCATGTTTTCCCCCACCCTGTATTTCTGGATTGTGTTGGCGTGGGTTCCCCGCTTTTTCCTATTTAGTTTTTCTTGATCATGAAGTGCACAGTAGTTCTTGAAGCACCTGAAAATACACCTGGAAACCTCTTTGCTGAAGTCACGCCCCTGTTTCTCATGAAGTCCACAAACTTTGCTGTGAGCAGTTTCATGTGGGAACTATTTTCTTTCTACCAAACTACAACCATCCAACAGTCTGCTCAGGCAAACGAGCACGTACCCATGTTGGGACGTGATTCCTGTTACGGGATGTAAACACTGACGAGTCCTTAATGTTGGCTGTCTGCGTGCTTCTCTGGGCTGGTAGAGCTATGGTAACCGTTCCCATGTGAAGCTGCTCTTTCCACGGCTCGTGGAGGGTTTTTTATAACGAGCCGGTCATGATGTCTGGAAAGACGCATCACTGCTGAGCTATTCAAAGGTACTGTTTGGCCCTTAGAGCACCCCGAGGTGAGTTCACATCTCTGCAGCTGATCTCTCAGAAAAAATAGCACATTTGATTTGGAGGTGAACTGTCCTGTAATATTTAATTGGTTCTATCTAAATGAAAATAAGCAGTGCGTGTATCCGAAACATCTAACTGCCTTTGGTAAATGTCACCATCTGTTACTCTTCTGCTATCACGAGTCCATAAAGGTTCAGTGTTTAAACAAACAAAGTGATTTCTGTTCATCATGTACTGCTGCCCTCACCGATGTATCCTGTAAATATGAGCCGACACTGATTACAGACTAAGAGGGGTTTGTGTCATGTGATTTAAAATCCTTGGTGATGGGTTTCTTTTCTTTTTATCTGTTTTTATAGATTTGCTGTAAATGTGACAGCGCACGGTCAGATATTTCTGTATTTGAATGTTTATACCAATAAATATTATTTTACTTGTGTCTCTCTCTCGCTCTCTTTACACGCATGTCTGTTGGGCACTCTCGCTCACCCCTCCCTTCATATATACAGACCACCAAGTCTTTATGCTCATTTAGCTGATTTCAGGCGACGCCTGAGCAGATTTTATTTCAGGGGGACAGACCGTCTTTGTCTCTCTGTGAGGACGTCAGGCACGTTTGTTTCCTGCCTGTAGACTGGTCTAAAGCACCATGGACAGCGCACTGGACAGACTGGACGCTGCAGGATTCTTACAGATCTGGCAACATTTTGACATAAATGGTAAGAAGGCGAGCTTTTTAATGGACCTTAAATTACTAATATATATATATATATGAACGTATTAAAAAGATATCTGGCATACAAACTGTATAATTGATTTGAATTTGCTACTGCTTCTAAATAGAAAGTGCAAAACTTGACGTGATATGAAACCAGTGAGTTGGGACGATCATGTTACAGCAGCTTAACAAACAGACCAATAATTAAATAAAATAATAGCTTAATAATGTGCAGTAATCAATCAAATGGAACAGGGCACGAAGAAATGCAAAAGTCCTTAAGCAGAAAATAATGATGGAATTCAAATAAAAGTAAAACTACAATCAAATACAAAAATAAACTAATAAATTGTTGTGATTGTGATTTGTAGCTGATGGAAGTGAATGTGTGAGATGATGATGATACGTGTGAACAGTGCAGGGTTTAATCCAGCTGTTGAGACTTTCTTCAGTTCCAGCTTCAACTTTGTGACTTTAAGAGGAAACTCAGTTTTTATCTGAATTATAAAAATTAATTTTAAACAAACTACATTGTTTGGAAAGATTGTAACCGTCGCAGTAAATCCTGTTATGATTCAGCTCTCTGAAAACGACTCATGCAGAAGAACTGAACCAGTTTAGCTGGAAGAAAGAAGTGAAACTGTGTCAGTGTCACATAAGCAGTTCTACTCGAGAGTAAGTGACAGAAAAACCATCATTTTGTTTCTGTCGTAGACGACGGCTACATCGAAGCCAGTGAGCTGGAGGCCTTCTTTAAACACACGTTGCACAAACTCGGGATGAAGGTAAGAGATCCACGTGTGAGAACGGTTAACGATGAGCGAATCGTTTCCTGTTGGCCAAACGAGGTTCTGAACTACAGTTTGTATTTTTTTTAACATTTCCACTGTAAAAGTCAGACACGATTAAAACAACTATGGTAACTTTTTGGTAGCATTTGGATTTTTCTGGGTCAGCTGTCACATTTGAAGGCCTCGAAAATTTCACTGTAACTCCCAGAGGTTAAAAAATAATAAGTAAACAGGACCCAGAAATGCCCAAAACTCATTAGCTGCAGACTGACGTCCATGCTGTTTTCAGAAGGAGGCGATAACTGAGGACAAAATCAGAAGGCTGAAAGAGAAGTTCATGCCTGCGTGTGACATCGGGGCTGACGGACGTCTGCAGATCCAAGAGGTACGAGGTCAGCCTTCGATGTGTTCTGTCAGCAACCAACAAGCATATTCACTCCTGTACAAAAAAACACACATTACAAAAAAGGAGAAGAAATTAGACTCAACAGATTCTTCTGTATGTCACCTTTTCAGCTGGCCACACTGATGCTGCCAGAGGAGGAGAACTTCCTACTTCTGTTCCGCAGAGAGACGCCGCTGGACAACAGTGTGGAGTTTATGAGGGTGAGGGTCAAAGGTCAACAAATAATGGAGCGATGAGGAATGGAGGAGGAGGAGGAGGAGGATGGGTATTTAATGAGTAACAGTGTGGAAGAACATTTCACAAATCAGAGATTAATCAATATCAACAGTTTTGTTTCCTTTTGGTATTTATGTGCACATTTCTGAAACACCATGAGTCACAAAATGCTCAGAATTATAATTACATAGATAATGCATGCAAATAAAACTAAATACTAAATGAAACTGTAAAGGCGTTAACCTTTTAATTTAATAGACAATCAATATTCCCTGTCTTATCAATCATTACGAATGACACCGCTCTGCAGCCCCTAATCTCTTTGCAGGGCGAGAGTGTTCAGCTGTTGGCAGCTGATCACACCTGGTGAGGTGTGGATAAAGGCACACCTGAGGGAGGCTTTCGGGGAGGCGCCCAGCTTTTTTTCAGCTAACTTATTATGTAATTTAAATTAAAACCTCTGCTTTGTGAAATTCTGGTATTAGTCTCCATATTTATGTTGCAGCTTTTGAGTCGTAACAGAGGAGAACCTGGATTTCTTTCTTTATTTTTAACCATGGACACTTTGGTAAAAACACGTCGGGAAGCTCCACCTTCTCTGGTTTCCTCCTTGGACACTATTGCTTCAGTTACTTTAAACTTAGTTTCAGCAGGCTTCTCGCTGACACCATCCTCCTCCCGTTCTCTGCTTCACCTCCAGCTAACCATCTTTCCTTAAATAGGAAAATTCCTCACCAACAGAGTTGGAAACCATCGATGGAAAGTTCTGGGCACACCAGGATGATGTTCGCTCACCATCTGCCCTACTGTTCACATTTGGCTTCCTGTGACTTTGCAATCTTCCACAACATTTACGTGAAGTTTCACACACTAGTAGAGATCCACTGTGCATCCACTGAATGATCTAAAAAGTGCAACGTGCTGGAAGAGGTCCAAAGCTGAACAAGGAAAGGACCTTGAAGGGGAGACCTGTAGGTTAGACTGTTGTCGGTGTGGCTCAACCTTCGGCACAAAGACGAACTGTAATTTCATGTTGATGGTTTATTTTTAGGATTTATCCTTTTTTTCTGTTTGCAGATTTGGAGAAACTATGACACAGACAGCAGTGGCTACATCTCAGCTGTTGAACTCAAGGTGAAAGTTCAAATCTGAGGAAATATCTTAAAAGCAGACACAGCTTTCGGAGGTGGTGAAATGATTTCAGATCCCCAAAAATCATCGATTTGCTTATTGTGTGAACCCAGATTAGATCGTTATTGGGGCTTAATTAAAATGAAAAAAGCACATTTGGTGGAGTTTCTCTGTGGCAGACGCGTCTTTCTTGTGTCTTTCTTCAGGGGTTTCTTCAAGACTTGTTCCTCCAACATGGGAAGACCATCACCCCCAAAAAATTGGAGGAGTACACTGACACCATGGTAACGGGCAGTGAGGTTGGGATTTGGGGGGGCAACAAGTTTGGCTCATCTTCACTCTGACGGGGTTTTTTTCCCCCCTCTAGATGAAAATGTTCGACAAAAACAAAGATGGCAGACTGGATCTCAATGACCTGGCCAGGTACTGTTCGAATTGTTTCACTTTCTGGCACCAACGAGTGTTTTTACACCCTTTTTGCAGCAACGCCTGCAGTACTTTTTCATGGGGGTGACACAGGGGAGGGGGTGAGGATGGGAAATCGTGAGGGACATACTACATGACACACTACAGATGACAAAAACTGTATAAGCAGCACTGAGGGGGCCAGCACATTTTGGGGGGGGGATGGCCCCTGCCCCCCCTTGGTGGCACCCCTGTCACTTTATCGGTCATTTTCTTTGTTTTGATCGATCGGCCTCTCTGTGTTCTTTTGTTTTTGTGACCTTGCTTGTCACCGTTTTTAGTCTCTTTATGATGTTTTTACATGTTTTTCTATTTTGTTTTCATTTTCTATTGTTCTGCTTTAAAATATTTTCTTTTTTTTTGTCCTTGCATCCCGATAGAATCGCTCACAAAAGCCTTTGAGGGATTGAAAATATTTATTGGATTCTATCATATTTCTATTTGACAAAAATCTGTTTCTTTTCTCCAGAATTTTGGCCTTAAAAGAAAATTTCCTGCTGAAGTTTAAGATGGATGTAAGTGTGAAGAGGCTGACTTGTAGTGTAAAGTGGATAAACTGCACCTAACAACAAAGCCACTGTGACTGAATCATATTTAACCTTTCATACTCAGTTTGGATGTTCATTTATTCACATTCAGTGCAACATTCTGCTCTCAGGCTTGCAGTCAGGAAGACAGAAAGAGGGACTTTGAGAAGATATTCGCTCACTATGATGTTGTAAGTGGAATTTTGCCCACTTTAATAATCATCTCTTTCTCACTGGGCTTGAATTCTTTTGTTGTTTTGTTAATAGTACAACCAGAGAGCAGGACTGGTTCACGCAAAGCACATTTTTCATGTAGCTTTAAAAATGTGAATAGAGAAAGAAAACCTTTGAAGTTCTGACACGCAGTTATTCTTGATGATAAAATAATATTATGCCACGTGTGTGTAGAGTAAGACGGGTGCACTGGAGGGCCCTGAGGTGGATGGATTTGTCAAAGATATGATGGAGCTGGTGAAGGTATAACTCTTACTCTTACGATCCCGACAGCAGTGTTTTTGTTTAGTGCTGTTTAAATGTTTCTGTTGTTGTATGATTTTTGATATCACTCACAAAAATGCAGTTATTCTGTAACAAAACAAAAAACCCTTACAGAGAAGAGTTGGTACTTTCTTTAAATAAACCTTTCTTTGTTTTAATAACCTGTAGAGACTTTTATTTGAAGCATTTAAATCCACTAAGACTTTCACAGCTATAAATTCTTTCTGCAGCCCAGCATCAGTGGGACAGACCTGGATAAGTTCAGGAAAGCCCTGATGGGTCACTGTGACATCAATGGAGACGGAAAGATCCAAAAGAATGAGCTGGCTCTCTGCCTCGGCCTTAAGCTCAGCTAACTGACCCTGGAAACATTCAAAGAAGTGTATATCCTTCCTTCCTCTGCTGATCTCTTTTACTTGCCGTCTTCTTTGTATCCTGCTGATTGTCTTAACTCGTCCCTTTTCTTTCTTCACCTGTGGTTTCTCGTCTTATCCCAGTTTTTGCAGGCATGTTGATAAATGGTGTTGTGTTCCTATTAACTGGGTCATATTTCCATAACTGTAAATATCTTTCTTTATTTGAAAATATTTTGCATTAAATGTGGATCTTGCCATAATGACATTACTCTACTGTAGATAAGTAAAACATATCTATCTGCTTTGAATTATTATAATGTTGCTTTTTCCAACGCATGCTGATTCTGCGTAATGTGACTAAGTCTCTGTTTGCATGACATTACTGTGAAAGTAGCAAAGATAGAAGAGATTTAATAAAAATGATTTACGTTTTGTCAGTAGTGTCTTTCTGAACATAAACCACAGGAGTCACAGACGACCGGCAGGACTCCTGAAGTCTTTTTACTGAAAAACATCAATCTGGCAACAAGGACCACCTTAGATTATTAAATATCACATAACAGGAAACAGTCCTGTTTATTACTTTGAAAATATACCTTTCATATGCTGTCCCTCCAAACTGATGCTCTAGATTTAAGTTTATATTAAAGCCTTCTATCATGAAACTAATCAGAGGATGTGCCTCTTACGCTGAGTTAGTATAAAGTCTTAGAGGCCTGTACTGTGAAACAATTTTAAAAACTTCTACATACCCAGGACATCTTTTCTCCTATTATATTTGGCTTCATTTACCCTAACAAATCTCCAAATCTACCAGAACTTGTTCACATAAAATGAGCTCAGTGAACCATGATGCCGTGTTGTGTCTGCTTTACCCCAGACAGGTTTAAGGTTTATTTGTTTATAATAAATCCCTCTGCACCCATCAGAAACTGAATAAGAAAGAAGAACATGTGCAAGAAGGCTGTAGCTGTAGCAGTAAACAGTGTGTTAAGTGGATGAGTTGTACAGGGAGCCACAGGCAGGAAGATTTCCTGTGTCGTTCAGTGGTGCTTCATGGTAATCTCAGTCTCTCACTGAACGTGCTCCTGTGACTGACCAGCATGTCATGGAGTGGGTGGGAGGTGTTATCCAACATTGTCTTTATCTTGGACAGCATCCGCCTCTCGACACCACCTTGAGGGAGTCCAGCTCCATCCCCACAACATTACTGGCCTTACGGATCAGTTTATTGAGTCCCCCAGCATGCAACAGCATAGAGGATCGCACTGGCCACAACAGACTCATAGAAAATCCTAGCATTTTCTGGCAGATGTTGAAGGACCTCAGTCGCCTCAAAAAATAGAGACGACTCTGGCCCTTCCTGTAAAGTGCTGTGGTGTTTTTAGCCCAGTCCAGTTTATTGTCAATGTGAACTCCAAGGTATTTATAGTCCTCCACAATGTCAACACTGACCCCCTGGATTGAAACAGGGGTCAAGTGTTTCCTGGTCTTCCTGAAGTCCACGATCAGTTCCTTGGTCTTTGCCACGTTGAGCTGCAGATGATTCTGCTCACACCACGTGACAAAGGAGTCGACCACAGCCCGGTACTCTGTCTCATCATCCCTGCTGATGCATCCAACCACCGCAGAGTCATCAGAAAACTTCTGAAGATGGCAGGTCTCTGTGCAGTGGCTGAAGTCTGTGGTGTAGAGGGTGAAGAGGAAGGGGGAGAGGACAGTCCCCTGTGGTGCCCCTGTGTTGCTGATCACCTTGTCAGACACACACTGTGGGAGACGTACATATTGTGGTCTTCCTGTCAGGTAATCAACAATCCAGGACACCAGAGAAGCATCCACCTGCATCGCTGCTAACTTATCACCCAGGAGGGTCGGCCTGATGGTGTTGAAAGCACTGGAAAAGTCAAAAAACATGACCCTCACAGTGCTCGCCGGCTGGTCCAGGATGAGCCTTTCCAGGGTCTTCATGATGTGGGAGGTCAGTGCGACAGGTCTGTAATCCTGGGGTCACTGGGACGTGGCGTCTTTGGTGCAGGGATGAGGCATGATGTCTTCCACAGCACCGGGACCCTCAGACTCAGAATCAGCATGAACACTTGATGGAAGACTCCACAAAGCTGGGGGGCACAGGCCTTGAGGACGTGGGGACTCACTCCATCTGGTCCAGCAGACTTGCCTGAGTGGAGTCTCCTTTCAAATGTGAACCTGCAGAAAACTCCTTCCTATCTACATTTTATTGGTAAGACTAAACAAAAATATAATGCTAACAACATTTCTACAACCATGTAGTGGGAAAAAGGGACAGCATGTGGTTTTTTATGATAAAATATCATAAAGCCTCTAGAAACCAAAGTCTTGAATTTTCATCACTAGGTTTATTTTAGTATATTTCATAATTTAACACCCATTTTAAGATAATAGACCAATAAGGAATGGGGTACCTTGGTGTGAAGACATGTCAGTTTAAAGTCATTATGCACCACAAATTTGAATGTAAACTCTACTGGATTTAGGTGGCATCCAAAAACTCGTGGTTGGGTGTCTCAATAATTAGACACAGGGGCTAAAGTTCTGTCATCACTTTGGTCAGCTGATCCTGTAAGTAGTCTACAAACTACGCTGGCTAATTAGTTTAATTCCAAACAGCTGCTGAGGTGGATGGAAGGGCCTCTGCTAATCTCTCCCGCCTGATTCAAATTAGTGCTATATGATTGGTTCTCAACCTGTTGTTTGTTTGCAAGCAACAGTGCGTGCTCTGCAGGCTGCTGGGTTGTGCTTTGTGAAAGATGGCCTCTGGACCTTGTGTGAGGTAAACTTGTTTTGTTCCATTTTAGCAAATCTGTTGATATGCTGACTTTGTTTAACACACATTGTATTTCCAGGGTGTTGTTGCTCTCACTGTTGGCCTTCAGCAAGCATGCTGAGGGTGAGTGTTGATGTGTGCAAACTACATTATGCAATCACTAACCTGTTAGAGCACTGTCGATTTAATTTTCTCTTTGTAGCTCTTACTTACAGGAGGAGCTACTCCAGTGTCATTAAGCCTTATTTTGGGAAGCCTGAGGATTTTCCACACAATCAGTATCCTGTCTCCAGACATAAGAGCTATGCACAACCCCGAAGCTCTCTGGGTGTTTATGGGCCTGAAAATGGGTCACCTGAGAGTTCTTACCCCACTGCTGCAGGTCTGCCTGGTGGTGCTGGTGCTTCCTCTGGTAGGCCATTAAATGGTTACCTTCAACAAGAAAGCATGTCTAGCTACAGATCTGGCTCATCACAACCCCACAAACCATCATATTACCAGGGTGATACTGATGGTGCCCTCCAGTCCAAGGATGCCATGTGGGGTTTGGCACCATCCCAGAAAAGAAACTGGATTGACGCAGGAATCGTCTCAAGTTATCCAATTGAGATGCGTTCTGTGCCCCAGCGGCCAAGTAATGAGCACCAGACCCAGCCACACGACAAGCAAGAACAGTTTAGCGATGAGTCCAGTATGTTTCAGTCTCGGCCCCAGCCTCGCCCGCTGCCCCAGCAGCCACGCTACGAGGCCAGCAAGCCCCAGGCCCGGCCTTTCCCCCAGCAGCCACGCTACGAGGCCAGCAAGCTCCATGCCCAGCCTCTGCCTTTCCCCCAGCAGCCACGCTACGAGGCCAGCAAGCTCCATGCCCAGGTACAACCCGAGCGTGAACAGTTGGGCGACGAGTCCAGTAAGTTTCAGCCTCGGCCTTTCCCCCAGCAGCCACGCTACGAGGCCAGCAAGCCCCAGGCCCAGCCCCCTCCCCAGCAGCCACGCTACGAGGCCAGCAAGCTCCATGCCCAGGTACAACCCGAGCGTGAACAGTTGGGCGACGAGTCCAGTAAGGCCCAGCCTCGGCTTTTCCCCCAGCAGCCACGCTACGAGGCCAGCAAGCCCCAGGCCCAGCCTCAGCCTTTCCCCCAGCAGCCACGCTACGAGGCCAGAAAGCACCAGGCACAGCCTCAGCCTTTCCCCCAGCAGCCACGCTACGAGGCCAGCAAGCTCCATGCCCAGGTACAACCCGAGCGTGAACAGTTGGGCGACGAGTCCAGTAAGTTTCAGCCTCGGCCTTTCCCCCAGCAGCCACGCTACGAGGCCAGCAAGCCCCAGGCCCAGCCTCGGCCTTTCCCCCAGCAGCCACGCTACGAGGCCAGCAAGCCCCAGGCCCAGCCTCGGCCTTTCCCCCAGCAGCCACGCTACGAGGCCAGCAAGCCCCAGGCCCAGCCTCGGCCTTTCCCCCAGCAGCCACGCTACGAGGCCAGCAAGCCCCAGGCCCAGCCTCGGCCTTTCCCCCAGCAGCCACGCTACGAGGCCAGCAAGCCCCAGGCCCAGCCTCTGCCTTTCCCCCAGCAGCCACGCTACAAAGTCAGCAAGCTCCAGGGCAGTGAAGCCAACTCTCCAAGTGGAGGTGTGCTGCAAACCAAATCTGGCATGTGGGACTTGGCTGACCCAAGAAGTTTCAGACCCATTCCAGTTTCATTAAGAAATCTCTACAGGTGGCCACAGCAACAGGCACCCATCTACAACAGATGTTAGCAATAGGTATTTCTGAATGGTTGTCTTTTATTTGTATTTGTTTTGTTTCTAAGAAGCTATAAAAACTCCATTTTTCTCTCCTCAGGTTCTGGCCTCACCTGCAGCTCGTTCTGGCATGGCATCAGATTTTCTTAAATTAATAAAGTGCACAGAGCTGCAGTCCCTGGCTATTGTTAAAACTTCCTGTTTGTTCAGTTTTATGCATGCTCTCATGATAAACTGAGCTGCTCAGTAGATCTAGGTTTGTACTGTTGCTACCATAATGTTGCAGTATACAAACTGATGCACAAAAGGCACTTTTATTTCCCCCCTGAAATAGTTAAACATAAAATTCCTCTCAGGCCTTAAGCCCCAAAGACTGTAATTATCTTACAGTTGTGTAGCTTAGCAAAGCAAACCTGCTTAGCTTTAATGTTTCAGCAAGTGTTCAGGGTTCACAACCACAATTTTCACTTCAAGAACAAGGGGTGGAAACATGGCAGTTTAATGCCTTCTATCAATGGCAAAAATTACAGTCCAGTCAGGACTACAACCAACCAGATGCTAAACGGAAAATGGTGGTAGTCTGCCAAGCAGGTGGTCACTATTAGGGATTAGCATAAACTAAGGCAATTCAAAGCACAAGCAGCGATTCTAGCTTTGAAAGGTGTGGGTGTCTTGTTTTTGGGGCCCAGTTGTGAACTTTGATCATGCCTTCACCGTCAGTATCAGGTGTTGTCTTTTTGTGCCTTAAAAGGAAACCGTATTAACAGGCTCGGATTAAAGTGTTTTTATTCTGTAGAGAATATTCACTATTGCTTTGTCTTTGGACAAAAAGTCTTGAGTATTAATATACATATCTCATAGATGTATCATCAAATGCTACTTTCTTGTCTTTTCACTTTTCTGCTGCTTCTTGCTCAAACACCGTCCCACCCCTCCTCCTCTGATAGCTGTTATTAGCTTAGTCATCTCCAGTTTGGGGAGATAATGACAGTGCTGTTTTTTTGGACACTGACTTCCTGTGTGTGTGGTGTTTCTCCCTGTCATTAAGCAGCGAGTCTGTGTGGTCAAAATGACACAGCTTTGACTGCAGGAGACGCTTCACCATCAGATCCCAGCTCCAATGAACTCGCTGTTGGTTTTCCATTTTCAGCTTTCGTAGTGTCTGTTGCTTGTTTGGGGGTTTTACCATACTTTCCTTTACTCATAGATAGATAGAGATATCATTTATTGTAAAACTTTTTATAGATATTTTGTAGCACACCGTTTACAGTACAGTGTTGTGGGCTTTGCTTTACATTCAATCAAAATGCACTTTAGTCAAAAGTGCATTGCAGTTCATCTGCAGTAACATATATTTGCTTTATGGATCTTTTACTCCCTCATTTATTTAAACAGTGTCAAATCGTAACAACAACCACTTCAAGGCGCTTTATATAGTAAGGTAGACCCTATAATAATACATACAGAGAAAAACCCAACAATTATGAGCCCCTATGAACAAGCACTTTGATGACAGTGGGAAGGAAAAACTCCCTTTTAACAGGAAGAAGCCTCCAGTCAGAAACTGCATGAAAGGCTACGGTTTGCAAGGCAGCAGATGTAAAGCAACCAAGGCAGATGCAGCTGCTTAAATCAAACTCTATTGAACAAAGTGTTTCAAAGATGATTAAAAAGCTAATAAAAGAAATGACATGCTTCAATAACTGACATATAATTAACAACACAAATCAAAGAAATTAATTACAAATTTGAATGAGTAAAACATTACAAAAAATTAATTGATAACAGTTAGAAAATAAAATAAGCTATAAAGAAAGATAACTTTAGATAAAATAGATTAAAAGGAGTACACCATGTACAAAGTCCTGATCAGTGAATAAAATAACATAATCCAATGGTAAAGACTAGAAAACAGCCATCCTGTGGTTTAAAGAAAACAAAATAAACTGGAAATAAGTTTGAATATTAGTCCAAACAAAATTTCTATAATGATCGATTCTTTCAATAGCAGATATTTATTTTCTAGAATCAGTTCTCGTACTTAAGTATAGATATTTTAGTAATTTGAGGTAAATTTGTAGTTTATCATTAACAAGAACAGTAACTATATTACTGGAATTGTCTAAATGATGGTAGGAACCACAACAGTCTGTTGCAGGGCAAACACAGAGAGAGAGACAACCACTCACACTCACATTCACCCCTATGAGCAGCTTAGAATCACCAACTAACCCAACCCCACTCACTACACGTTTTTCGACTGTGGGAGGAAGCCGGAGTATCCTGAGAGAACCCACACCAACATACCAACTCCGCGCAGAAAGGCCCTGGCCTGGATGAAATTCTAACCACCACACTAATGTTCAAATACCATTAAGAGCACTACACACTGTGAGACAACAGTGCTACTGCACCACCTGAATATCTAATCCAATAGTATTTTTTAACATCTGTTATTTTTTACTATTTCTTACTTTTTTCTTGAAGTTTCTTGAAGTTTGCAGCAGAATAGCTGTTTCCTCTGTTGAAAGAGGCGGCCATCTTGGAAAATGCTATCGCGTTAAAATTCTAGTGACTGACAGGATTTTTCAAATTAACGGCTCCAGAGAGACAAAGACACAAGATTGTAACAATTCTCTACTTCTCTAGTTGTGTAGTGTGTTCTCTCATAGAGTCCTCAGAGGTCAAAGAATATAAAACAGCTCACAGTAAGATGTAAAGACTAAACATGACCCGTTATGGGTGGGTGGAGGTGAATGCTCTGTTCTTTCTGCTTCAGTATCTCGTCTTGATAGTTCAAACTACAGAAAACAGAATGCTCTTACAATCATCTCTACCAAGAGGTGATTGTAATGTTTGTTATGTGGTTACATGGATAATGTAATCCACTGTGTGTTGTTGCTTTTTCTCATACTGTTTTCTGCCAAAGCTTCACTGACTACATTTGACCATTAGATGTCCTCCAACCTCCATGAACACCAGAAGTCAGACGTCAGGGTGACGTTTACGGTGACACAGACAAAAGAAATCACTGCACAAGACTTCAACTGACCAAACTTTCTTTGGTGTCCGGCTCATTTAAATTGTAGCAAACTTTAAAAATAAACTCATTTATGAACTTCACTTTGACAGTAATTTATACTTTTTTTATTATATTTTTATTGAAAAAAAAGGACTTGTTACAATAAAGTGCATTGATATTATTTAGTTGAGGAAAAAAAAAAGACTTTTTCTTATTCCTTTTGTTTTACATTCAGGTAACAAAAAGTGATCTCGGTG